TTATATTTTATTTCAAAAATAAAATCATTATTGTTTTTTTAAAAACACATAAAATCGTATTATAACATCGACAGAGACAAAGAATAAAATAAAACATTAAAATCGATATGTATCTCGCTGCATTGCGGAAATACCTTTCTAGTATATATATATATATATATATATATATATATATATGTATATATGTATGTATGTATGTATACATGTATATATGTATGTATGTATACATGTATATATGTATGTATGTATGTATGCATATATGGATGAGTGAAAATGTGAGTTACAATGAGAATGTGAGAAGAGATCTTCATTTTTGGACCAATCATAATTGAAGATCAATCTTAGTTAAATATACCAGATCAAGTCATTTTTAAAGCACAATTCACGAGTGAGCATGCGATTAAAAGTGATCATGAGTGAAGATATTTTCTTACGTTTCTAATCTTAACTCTTATTCTCATTCGCCTACAGACGTAGTAACATTTAGATAAACCCGATAAAGGAAGGACTAAGGGGCCGTTTACCTAAACACTTACCCGGTAAGCACTTGCCGGTAAAATTCAATACTATCGCTTACTTACCGGGTAAGATTTTATTCACTAAAATGCATTGTGTATAACAATTTATCTCGGTAAGCGCTAACCATGGTAAAAATCATCTTCTTCACTTACCGGGTAAGACTCTCGATTATTGTCTTTGCTCTTACCCGATAAGATTCTTAGTGTTTGTCATATTCATCCAGTAAAATAAAGTGACTTGATAAGCGCTTACCCGACTAAGCATTTGGTAAACGACATCTAAGATATCAATTTAAATGGATGGAATTAGTATGAAAGTCAATCGTCCTTTTGAAAAATACACCCTGATGTCACCAATGACGTCATCTATGTACCCAGAACCTACATTTTTAATCAATTTATGCCCCATCAATATCATCATCCCAAGGATTTTGACTTTTATGTCCTTTGCCTTATTTATACCATTTCAATTTCTTGACTTTGGATTTCTTTGTTTAATTTTGTAATTTGTACTTCTCGGGCGTGGGGTTATCATACAACACACATGCATTATTTACTTATTTTTTAATTTAAATTAAAATCTTAATTCATTTCGATGCTGACCATTTTAGTACAAAAGAATAATACAGTGCCTTTTCAGCATCTTAATAACGTAATATAATTACACGACAAATGTTGACCTCTACACCGTTCTGACCCAGACAAGTTGAAACCTTTGGCACGTTTGCAGATCCATCAGAAAGAAAGAATATGCGTCATGAAGAACCGATCAAGCTCGTCATTCGGTCTGTCTAAAAAGACCCAATTTGTTTCGATGCTACCAAATTAAATAGAGCGATCCACAATACTGCCTTACCTAGGTGACTCTTAAAACCCGAAATGCCAAAGAAGTTTGACCCATTCAACAAAATCATCAAAAGTAAATGAAGGCGTCAAAGTTTCAACCCCACCACTTGAAGATGCCCTTCTGCAACAAAAAGCTAGAAGGACATGAGAAGCAGTGGTGCTCGATATTTTTGCTCGACGTTGCTGCAACAAGGGCAAAGGATGGAATTAAGGTCAACACTTTTTTCGTGAAGAATCTTCCACACTGGAATCCTTCCCCACGTAAGCCGCCAAAAAAAATGCAAATCTTTCAAGGCACGTAAATACTCCAACGAGTTGGGACAAATTCTCGGGAACTTGTAAAAATTTATTATTAATCAAGAATCTTAGATCCGAGACCAAAAAGTCCCATTTTTTCCTAGCCACCAAATCAATCTCATTAGTCCTAAAATTGGTGTTTTTTTATTAACCTGGATATCCAACCCGCTGTGCGAGCCGACTAATCCCAAGGCGACCACCTGCTTTGCAGATAGTCCGAAGTCACCGCATTTGAACTTTCGTGACCACAAGGGGGTTTTTATTTCTCCTTGGATTTGAACCTAGGACCTTCTGATACTTTTGATCTTTAAAGTCAAGCTCAAACCAATCAGACACCACCATTGTGGTTAAAATTGGTGTTACTAAGGGACAAGTTCAACTCCTCCAGATTACCAATTGCCCTTCCCTACGATTCCTTGCCCACCTGGTTGCAAACAAGAGCCTCCTTATCATATTCTAATATGAAAAGTCTTAGAAATCTTTTGAAAATCCAAAAATTATCGAACCATTCATCCCTCTAAAAGAGTGTGTTCTCCCATCAAGAATCTACAAACGTAATCCCAATCTTTTCCAAGTCTTTACCCACTCGCATGATCCCTCCAAAAGCACTCGTCGAGCCAACCCTATAAGTCATCCACATTTTAGGAGCTCTTGTACAAGTACCTTGGTTCTAAACATAATTAATGTAACCACAAGGGTGGTGCCTGATTGGTTTGAGCTTGTCTCCAAAGATCAAAAGTACCAGGAGGTTTCAGGTTCAAATCCAAGGACGAATAAAAATCCCCATGTGGCCACAGAGATTGAAATGCGGTGACTCCGGACTATCTGCAAAGTAGGTGGTGGCCCTGTGATTAATCGGCTCGCTTAGCGGGTTGGATATCCAAGTTAATAAAAAAAAACATAATTATTATGTAAAATGATTATTATTATTATTATTTTTTAAATAATATGTAGGACCCACAACAAAAGGTTCTTTCTAGTTATTACGGTCCTGATAGTTCTTAATTTATTGACTTGATCATGATATAACAAAAAAGATACAAAAACATGTTCATAAGACACTCCATTGTAGATGCTGAGAATATAAGTCATTCAAAACGTATCGAATTTCTTGAATCAGTTTATATCTAATTATTATTTTAAAATTATATTTTTATATTTATTATTTACGAAGTGTTTCAACATGATATATCTTATTAATGATATAACTAAAATGGTTTCTTTTGTTTTCTGAGTGTCTTTTCTACTTTAATCCACGTCGACTAATTTAATTATATATTATTTAAACCTTTTTATCTAATAAATTATTATTTATTTATTTTATATTTAATTAATTTTAGTATGAATATTTTTGTATATATCCATCCATCCATCAATGCTTTACTATACTTTTGTATTTTATCTGATAAAAGCAAACAATTGAATTTTAAATATATTGAAAAAAACAAAATATAATTATGTTATAAGGTCATTATCGTCAAATAAAGTCAATTTTTTTACTTAACTTATTGGAATTTTCTTAATTATTTTTAAATTTAAAATATGGTTTTAGAAAAAGGAGTGTAATTACTAGGGGCACACTTCTTTTTGGTCATGAACGCACCACGTATTACTCCTTACTCACATTTCGTTTTTTAGGAGTGAAAACATTGAATTTGTTATCTTATGTCGACTTTTCGTGAAAAAATACCAATTAAAATCGTGGATTTTTTTTCCCAAATGATTAGATCAATGAATTCTTTTTAAATGAATAAATTATTAAACTTTTTTACTTTAAATAGTTATTTCAACGGTTTTATATTTATTAAATGATAGAAATTTTTAGTAATTAAATATTATTTTAAATTAAAAAACTACATGTAACCAATTAGAAATGTTTTAAAGTAAAAAAAACTTAAATTCGTTTTTTAACATTATTAAACCTTAAGCCATTCAAATCCCTTGCACCAAACGTCATTGTTGCCTCCGCTTCTTCTCGTTGTCGTTCGCTCTCTTTACTGCTCATTGCCGTCATTGACCCCTGACACCGGTCTCCATTGTCGTCGTTCGCTCTCTTTGGATTGGAAATGATTTGAAATCATTGGTGTGTTTGGTTTGTAGGATTTGGAATGAATATTTCTTTCATTATTTTTAAATAATTTATATAAAATATTATAAATAAATATAAAAATAATTGAATTACATTTTTATTAATCAATTATTACAAAACAAATGTTTTTTTAAATCTAATTGTATACAATCCTACGAAATCCGAGCACCCCCCTAAAAATTTCAAAATCCTATGTTTGAAGGATTTCAATTAAATCATAGGATTTTAAATCTGGACAATTCAACAAACCAAACATGAGATTATAATGGATTTGAAATGTAAATTTTCCCAAATCCATTCTATTCCTTCAAATCAAACGGGGGCTGAAAAGTAAATTAGGGGTATTTGGTTAAAGGTATTAAATAATTTGAATTAAATATAAAAAAAAGACTGTTTGGTTTTAAATAATATAATGAGTTCATTCATTCACAAGTTGAAATGAAAATTCATTACGGTTCTCATTCTCTGTCATTTTCATTTCCTTACACGGACCAAATAATTCCTAATCATTTCGCTGAATTTTGACCTCTTAGATAAAGATAGGATCCATATGGATATTTATACGATATCAGTTTCATCAATTGATTCGTCATTAATTGTTTATCTGACATTTTAATGGGTAGAAAATGAATAAACGACGTTTTTCATTACCCATTATAATAAAAATTGCCGTTAATTCCTAAACCTTGGGAAAGTATAACATATGCAACTAACTATATGAATTGCAAATACAAACAATTCCATCGTTTTCCATTTTCCATTAAATGTTTTCGGTAAGCAACAACACCGAATGTCTAAAGCAGTCATAATCATCGCCGTATAAAGTCATCGGCACAATTGATGTTTATACTCCGAGTTCCCTTTCTTCCTAAAACAGTAACATGAGATTAAAGGGGTAGTTTGGTTCATGTTGGGGAATGAAAATAACAGGGAATGAAAATGAGAATGCCTTTTCATTCCCTCCAGTTTAACTTGAAATGAAACTTTGGACTTTTGGAGAATGAACCCATTATATTATATAAGAACCAAACAGTTTTTTTTGTTATCATTCTCATTAATTACTGCTTAATATCTCTAACCAAACATCCCGGTATATTAGTTTGAGGCCAAAGCCCAAATATTATCTGAACTGGGCCGGCTGAGTAGAGCGTGGCTTACAGGGCCTGCCGGACCGGATATTCCGTTACAACTATACAACCAACTCCTCTTCTGTCCTGTAGGTCTGCTTCTAACAGTTCTTAAATTTGTTCGAGTTCGTTTCTCTATCCTCTGTAATCACAATGGCTCCATAGATCTTCTTCATACAACTCGCAATCCGTGTGAAACGTTTGATTTCGACGTTCTCTTTGTGAAACGGTTAGTCTCTCTCTCTCTCTCTCTCTCCCTCTTTTACCGTTATTGTGTGTTAGTGTGAAGACAATGGATTAGTGGATGAGTTGAAACTCTGTTATGTAACTGGAAATTATGAATTGGAGCTTTTAGTTTATACTTCTGATCGATTCTGTTGGATTCTCATCGAGTTGTAATCGGTAAGCAACATTTTACGGTAGAATTCGTTATCCATGCATCAAACCTCTGAACTTATGGAGATTTACTAATTGCGAGAAATTATTGTAGTCGTAACATATAAAGATGATTCAGATCTCTCGCAATGTAATTTTCCAAATATTGGATTATGATTGTCGATCTATACGTGAAATCACTTAAATCTGATATGATTCCTTATTAGTAAATTCAAAGACCACGCAGAAAGTGCTTATGAATACAGTAGAATTTGCGAGGGTTCTCTCTTATCTGGATCTGTGTGTAAGCCACTAGATCAAGTACTTTACGAAATTTCTGCAGAAAAAGGAGCAAGTTTTGCATAATGTTGTGGACAGTAAGTAAAGTTACGACAAATTTGTAAGAAATTTTAGTAGCAAGTGTTAATGCACAAATATCAATTCGTTAAAAAGTATCACGAAACTTAATTGATTATTATGAGAAAGTAGTTTTTAATTTTTAGTTAGGAGGTTCGTTGTCAATCCTTGATGAGTTAAATTGTGCAAGCTCTAAGATGACAACTACTCAATCCATGCTGATGCTAGAATAGCTTTATAAATGTTCCGGTTCTATTGGAAAAGAAATAACTGAACGTATGGTTAAATTAAGAGTTTCTGTATAAAAAGGTTCTACTTCTCATGGATATTGAAGGTACTTCACGTCAATTTTTTTCCTAGGATCTTTGATATTATTTTTACAGTTAATTTGTATGCCATGCAACATGATATAATTTTATTGCCATGCAAGTGAAATTGGGTTAAATAAACTAATTCAAACTCAATGTCTAACATTCCATGTAAAACTTCAGTTGGCTTTGCAACTATATTATCCGTATCCAAGTGTTACGCAAACCTGCATCATTTTAGGTGTCATTTAATTTACATTGGGTTAAGTTGGCTACATTTTTCTACCGTGATACCTGATTGTGGAGTATAATTAACTTGCTTATCCCCAAACACGGAAGGAAAATTTCTTAATAGGACATGTCCTTTATACCAATACTGATGAAGAAAATTAAAAAGAATTAGGATGGTATGAGAAAACGAATGTCTATATCAAGAAAGTAGGAATATGATGCATGGATTTCTTTTAAACCGTCAAAAACATACACCCTAGGTCCTAGGATGATGCATGCATATTAACAGGCTTTCTTGGTGAAGACGTTGGACATGCTGCAAATGTATGATGTATCTTTTATGTTGCATAAAAGGTGCATTTCCCTTGCAACTTGTATGGCTTTGGTTTAATTGTTGAGGTCGGTTTCTGACAGTATTCTAGTCATGTAATTATCAACACTAAAAACAGATGGATTCAGACTCAGTGCCTTCATTTTCACCAACTAAGCAAGATAAGATGGGTTTGGGTTGGATTGAATGGCTCAAAGGGTGGTACCATTTGGTTCTGGAGACATTCTTAGAGAAATACTGGTCAAGACATTTGGCAAACCCATTGCCTCTGCCTCCCCTCTATGGTATCACCAGCATTGTCACTGGTTCGACTAGTGGAATTGGACTTGAAATAGCCCGGCAACTTGCAGAGGCAGGAGCACACGTTGTTATGGCAGTAAGAAACACTGATTTAGCTCATCATTTGCTCCAGAGCTGGCAACAAGAATTGCAAAAGAGATCCCCTAAGAAAGTTCTTGATGTTGATGTGATGGAACTCAACCTTAGTTCATTAGAATCGGTAGCCAGATTTGCAAAAGCATGGAATTCAAAAAACAAACCACTGAATATTCTTATCAACAATGCGGGTATCTTCTCAATGGGAAAGCCTCAGATGTTTTCACCTGATGGTTACGAAATACACATGCAAGTTAACTTCTTGGCTCCATCATTGCTTTCGCTCTTACTTTTGCCATCTCTAAACGCCGGTGCTCCTAGCCGAATTGTGAATGTGAATTCCCTTATGCACGCCATTGGTTATGTTGACTTGAGGGATATGAACTTTGATAAGGATATAACAAAGTTTACTAGCTTAAGAGGGTACTCAAGGAGTAAACTGGCACAAATCATGTTTAACAATATCCTTCATAAAAGCATTCCGAAGAGTGCCCGAATCTATGTGGTATGTGTGGATCCGGGCAGCGTTCGTACAAATGTGGTACGAGATCTTCCTAGAATAATTCAAAATGCATTTCAATTATTAGCCACATTCCTGTATACAGCTCAAGAAGGATCCAGGAGTGTGTTGTATGCAGCTGTTTATCATGAGATTTGGGAGTATTGTGAGAAGTTGAAAGCAGAAGAATGGCCAGTTTGTGCTTACGTGGCGTGCAACTGTAAGACCATGATTCCCAGCAAAGAAGCACAGAATATGCAGATTTCGAATATGGTGTGGAAGATGACACTTGATATGATTGGTGTCCCTAAAGATGCAGTGGATCTTCTTTTGGATGGCAAAGAGATTCATTGCCGATATTCAAATCTAGTTACCAATTAAGATCATCAATTTTCACCCTTCATGATACTAGAGAGACGGATGATTCTGCCTAAAAGGTAAATGGTAAAAAACTTTAATCTTTGGGTTCATTCAATCATTAGAGACTTACAAGCTACAACATATTTGAACTTTGTGCCTTGCTTTTTTAGGATATATTTGGTTTGTTAATAGGCAGCCCATTAATCTGAGTCATAGGTCCAATCTCAGCTCTAAGCATCCTCACCGTTCATTGTGGCAAAGTCCATGGACCTGTTTTGCAAAGTCTATGGCATTGGGGTTTGTAGAGGTTTATGCCACATCACCGGAGCGGTTCCTCTGTGGGGACTGCTCCATAAGAGCATATCCAAGGCCTTCTTCAAGATGGAGATTTTTGAGCAAACATTTTGTTTCTATAGTTTCTTTAACACTTTAAAATGAAGAAAATAAAAGTAAGGGGTTTTTTCTCCAAATATAGAAGAACACCCCATAAATATTATCATGTGAGACAACCAATATAAAAACTTTGAAAATAAATATTTATAGAAGAAAATAATATTCTAATAGATGAATTAAATATTTTAATATTATAATCAATGTTGTATTCTCTAAAAATGGTGAATTTATTGGAGATGAATATAATATTTTTTGAAAATTTTAGACTTTTAATTCTTTATTTTTAAAGAAATTTTGAGAATATGTTTAAGATGCTTTAATATTATGCATCTTGAATTCCACCGTTTACCATTTCTTTATTTTTATTATATAAATAATTTTAAAAAGAATTTAATAAAATTAATTAATTACCAACTTCTATCTACACAAATTATTAGCAACTTCTACCTATACATTGTAATTTTAAATTATTGTATTTTAATTATAATTAATTTTTAATTATTTTCTTTTAGCTACAATAAGTAAATTTAACCATTATAATTTTATATTATTGTAGTTTTTATTATATAATTCATAAACCGGTCCATGATTAAGGGTAAATTTTTTATGAAATATACAGGAGAGAGAGAGAGAGAGAGAGAGAGAGAGAGAGAGAGAGAGAACTGATATAACAGGACAAAAAATTTATGAAATTTATTGAAGATGAATGAGGATCTAGGCATTTCTTAGGCCTTAATTCCCGATGGCATCAATATATTCCCTAATGATTCAAGAATATCGATAATAGAAAGTTTTTATAAAAAAAAAGTTAGTTTTTATAAATTAGTACCATTGAAATTGCAATATACATTTACTTTATATGTTCAATTGGACATTTTTAGAGCATCTTAAATAGACATTTACTTTCTAAAGTATATCTAATGTTTCAACTTAAATTGCAACTGTTACAAAATCTTAAAAAGATATAATATTCGTGTCAAAATTAAAGAAAATGATATTCTTGTTTTTTATATAATCTTTTAATTTAAAATTTTGTATGGAAGTATTTTTATACTAAATAAAAGTGGTGTTTTATTTTAGTTTAAAAATTATCTATTTTCCTATCAGAATTATTAGGTCAAAATCCTCTTTTTCTGTTTAACCTTTCATTTAAAATTAAAATTTGTTAAGAGTGACCATTTTATTACGAAAATATCGCCTTATAAAATAAGATTTGATCAAAATCATTGAAAGATTGAGATTAAGGAGTCGTTATCAAACACTTATCAGTAAGCTTTTATCAGGTTAATTACTTTACTGGTTGAGTATATAAAGGACCGAAAATTTTGTTCGGTAAGAGGGAAGGTAATAATTGAGGGTTTTACCCTATAAGTGAGAACGATAACTCTTATCTGATCAACGTTTATCAGGTAATAAACACATATTATCAGTCCATCTTGATATTTGAGGATATTACCTAATAAGGTAGAAAGTACCAAAGGGCATTTGGCCTAACGGTATGTGAGTCTTTGATCTCTTAGTAGGTTAGGGGTTCAAACCTCACTAAAGTTGATGAAGGTGTGTGAGTTTATTTGTTTTATTTGCCGTATATAAATACTATATACTTCAAAAAAAAAAAGATAAATGAAGGTGTTGACCTTGCCGATAAACGCTCACCGGTAAGCATTTGATAAATGGTCTCTAAAATATCCGAAAATTTCCTTTTATTGCAATATTAGGAAAAAGATGAATGTTTGGGAGCATTTTGAAAAGGTAAAAGATTAAGGGTTGTTTTAGAATTTTTGAAAAATTAAAAGTTAAAACTTTTCAAATGGTACAAACTAACATCTTTTCTTTATATAATACCAGAAATTCTGCAATCTTACAATCTCTAAATCTCACTTTAGTGGTTGTCGTGTGATTTACTTTTAGACATGTGGATGAAACTTGTAAAGATGCCAAATAATGGGTCCGGAGTAGTTCGAGACCGCGGAGGACCGGGGACTAACTTGGGATGGGGACCGGCCCAATGGTCCTTATGAATTTTAGGAATTTTCATGGTCCAATCTGAGACCGGGACCGATTATACATAAACTTGATTTTTTTTAAAAATTAAATTTTTATAAAATATATATCAAGTTTTTTAACATGTGCAAGATTTTCAACTTCTTTTTACCAAAAACTTTATGTTTTTTTAAGTTGTTTTAAGTGTTCCAATACTAAATCTCAAAAATCGTAACTATAAAAACATTTATAACATTTTTGTATAAACAAGATATAAAAAGTTGTTTTTAAAGTGTATTTGAATAATCCAATTAGGGATTTTAAAGTGTATTTCAATAGGATATTGTCCAAAAAAAATCTTCAAACAATATATTTTTACGTTCAAGATTTGAGTTTTGAAAAAAAAAAATTGGGACCGCTTTGGGTTGACACGGGACCGAGATACGTTCTCATAACCGGTTATGAATAACCTTAACAGGGCATTGGGTTTTTGGTCGAGACTGAGACCAGGACCTATTACGCATCGCCCGGTTACGAAAATAATGTTTGGAGCCGGGACCGATTTCTTGCGATCCTAGTCTCCTAGACAAAGTTTTGGCATCTCTAGCCACTTGTAAGTTGCGAGTTTGTGACCCAACAGCCTAACAGCTCAACAGCTATTTCCAGCCCAAGTCATAATCCAGGAGCTACTGTAGCCCACTAGTCTTCCATACAACCTAATCTCAATAAAGCTTTGATTTCACAAGGTTTTTTTTGGAAGTATATAATATTTATATACGATAAATAAAATAAATAAACTCACACATCCTCTTTATCTTTTGTGAAGTTTGAACTCTTGACCTATTAAGAAGCCAATGACTCACATACTGTTAGGCCAAAGGCCTTTTGATTGATTTCACAAGGTTTCCAATCGGTTTTTGTTCAATTCTTTATTTCTAAGGTTTGCCCCACAATTCTTATCGATCACGTAGAAGTTTAATCAGATAATTTCAAGTTTATTGGTCTTCACATTATCGTGAACCATGATTGGAAAATGGAGGACGACTGAACTAACTGTTACTCTTGGTATCAAAGTCGGACCTAAAAATTATTTCAAGTGGTGACATCACTTGACATCCTTTGTCCATTGGTTAGTTTCTTACTTTTTGTATGTAAGGTCTTGTGTTCAAGTTCGTTATCGCAACTTTTTTTCTTCCAAAAACACAATAAATTTGATATTAAAAGCTAAAAATAAAGAAAATGACACAAGGAGGATTTAAAGGTGCAACCTGGAATGGAAGAATGGCCATGCAAACCAACCTACCAACAAAATTTGTGTTGTCATGTAATTTCAATGTATATATGGTTGCATACAACAAGATGATACGGTGACAACTTTCACGACCCTAATTCTTTTACATTACGACAGAGGAATGAAGCGATGGCCCGTATCACCGTATGCAATGGTGTAGGTCCACCCCTGGGTGGTACTAAACATAAACAAACAAGTAATCGAGGGTTGGGTGATGGAAAAGTATGTGGATTGAAGTTTGAAAACTAAGTTATTGATCTTGCTGCTTTCAAATTTTAGGGGAAACCCTCTAAAGTCTATGCATTTCCATAGTCGATAGAAAAATTCAAAATGTAAAATTTTAGTCAGTATTCAAAAAACCGCCCCATGGTGTGCGTTATGGCACCCCATATAAGACACGTCTCTACTATTACGATAAGGTCAATAACGTTTGTGTAGAGTGTGTAAGGCTTGAGGTCGCCGCCACGCCTCACACCGTTTTGAACCTTGGTTTTGGGTCATTACACTTTAACATTCTAATCTTGGATATAATAACCAAAATAGTATTACTTTGTTATTAATTTGAGTGATTCTAAATATGATACTTAATAAAACAAGTGTAAGAGACTATTAGATGTGGCTTCAGGACCAGACGTATAACCTCGATAGGATGTGCCCTAGCCACCCAAGCCTATTAGTCGCTTAGATAAAGAAGGAAGGCTTTATATATATATATATATATATATATATATATATAGGGGCCTAATCAAATGAGAACTAATTAGTTTGTGGTAACTGTAAGAACTAATATTAACCACAAATCAATAAATAAATTAGGAAATTTATAATTTTGGCAATTTTGAATTAAAATATTAATGCAAGGATATTTTTGGTATTTTAAAACT